GAGCACACCTGAAGCTGGTGCTTGCACTACTGCACCTGATGCATTGAAGTCAGTATCTGAGGTTGAGGAGAAGGTGGTGGCTCGGAATGTTGCATCAACAGTTCTACGGTTATCGACAGCGTTGAATTACATTGGATGTTCAGCTGTTCACAAATCACCTCGGTCTATTTCTATCATTTCAAGATCTAAAATATCGCGTCGCGTGGCTTCCTGTTCATCTCAATTAAAAAAGTCAATTAGAAATGATGCTTCACGCTTCTTAAAATGCCGCGAAACTCCTTGCGGTAATGCAGAATCGTTAGGCACAGTTGTAGGTGCTGCATCCTCAGCATCTTTAAAATCACTTGCCACTGCCAAAAGCGCTGCGTGGTTGAAAGAATTGAAGATTGAGCCATGCTGTAAGACCGCCTATGCATCACTGAGGAGTGGCACTGTGACTTCATGGAGAACACACCGTTCTTATGTTGGTGCTTTTTTGCCTGTCGCGTCGGGGACAGTTGCTGATATTGTGAAATCATCGGGGAAACCTCAGTCTCTTACCGGTCCGTCAATGGTGCCAGGAAATCCATACACAGCATTTGCCAGTCAGGAGACGGAGGCGTGTGAGCCATCCGCCTTCTCCTCCCGCGACGCCAAATACGTGCATTTAGAGAGAGAGAGCGGTGATGTGGTGATGATGTGTCCCATGTGCTCCTTCTCGAGCTGTGACAGGGAGGCCATAATGCGGCATGTGATAGATACTCACTAGGTTTTTTTTGAACACACTGAAAATCAAGTCTCCGGCTCTGTACATATATATAAACATAAATTTGTAAAGTTTAATTTTAGCGGTTTTCCTCTAGTAGAAGTTTGAGATGGCTTTGAGAGGCAGTGGTAGCCGACATGCCACACTTGTGCTGTGACTGAAGTAAATTGCAGTTATGATATCTTGTGAATTGATTCTTCCATGCGAATGAGTATCATACCTTGCCTGTCCATCCCATCCATTGAGCCTACGGTCAAAATGCTGTCTGCCACCACCTCCTCTGTGGAGTAATGACTTACGTACAATGTATGCGATGCTCCACATTAACCATTGTGTGAAGTTACCTGAAGAGCTATGCCCAAGGTGAAAGTTATCGAAGGGTTACGGTCCTCTACTTACTGACGAACATCGGTGGAGGTGAAAAATGCGCAGTTGTAGTTTGGCGTTTATGCATTCTCATGCGTCTGGAAGCGTCAGGGAAGGTGGCAATCTTTGTTATCCAGCTCACTGAAACTCCCTGAACCGCGATTTAAACGGGTGGTTCTGGACGATTTGTGTAGCATCCCTCTATTTTAGTGTCGACGCACGAATGTGAGACTAGCCTTGATGAGTCAGAGCTGTGCAGTGGTGTGAGGACATATACTGCCAATAGGTTGCATTAAATGCAGCGGTGCGTGTATCATGCACAGTGTTCGACAAAACCAAGGTGATAGCGCATTACTTCGTGGTCCATAATTTTGATGCCAAATGAGATTTTTCTGTCATAGCTGCCATTATTTCCTACCGCTAGTATACGACTTAGTTTTAAATGCGGCTTAAAATCATGCGAGGTATATTAGTGCGTTAAAGCCACTCAATGATATTTTATTCGTGGCCCAAAGCAACACCATATAAAGAGTGTAATTGTAAATTTTCCAATTTGCCTAACTGGAAGTTGGGATAAAAGGAAATGAGGCAGATTGCACGCCATAGTAACTTAACTAAGCATGACATTCAAGGAAATGATAGCGAATGTCCTCTGCACTAACCACCCGACACATATTAAGCGCCAAAATGCAATGAAGGCAAAACAAATTTAAGTCTACCATCACCCGGTGCTTCTTCATCCATTCCTCACTATCGAGTATCCGTAAAGTCTAATTTGACCTATTACTTCCCCTGGTTGAACAGTCTATTCAAAACTTAAGCGTGATGTATTTAGGTTAGTTCATGTTGGATGATGAAAAAAATTGATAATTTTGCCAACAGAAATGCGTATCTAAATCAAAAGGCATCGTGGTTTAGTGGGCACCGTGTAGTAATTCGTTCGTGTTAGTTCCACTGACAGCGCATTTATCGAAACGACTTGCCGTGAGTAAGCATCAGGGGCATAATATCAGGCATCATTTTGATGGTCGGTATACTGCTACAGTAGAAGTCTTTGAAATAAGGCAAAGTGCTGAGGCAATGCATTGATGGACGGAGTAAATTTGTGGTTTCTTGTCTTCAAAAAGTCGAATGGAAGAGAAGGATAAAATGGTGTCATTGAGGAAGAGGATTGCACCAAGCAACTGAAGGCATGGCATGTCAAGAACGGGTCGTGTTGTTACTCCCCTAGATGAAGCATTGTGAAGCGAGGTAGACAATCACATCCTGTAGACACCTACGGCCGACGGCAAGAGGGAGCAACCCAGATGCTTTATCCGGATTTTGTCACTCAAGAAGGCTACTAAATACAGATAAAAATTTTCCCACAACGATTTGAAATAGCTGTATTTCTGCCAAGGGAAGCTTGAACTCGCCTATGTGTAATACACCAGCTTGTCTGACTCACTGCAAAAGTGTTTTAGATGTTATTGGACTCCACAAGAGTATTTTGTGGATTAAAATAAAGCAAAGAAACTAAAGCATCCTATTTTAATTGGAGATACTAAACAGCGTCATTACGCATTGTAGGGATGCTGAAAAATAAACCAAAAAATGAAGATTGTTAATTTATGTGAAATTTCTTAGAGCTAAGCCGAACAAGTAGATGTTAGGGGTTCATTTATGGAGGATAGAGGTACATTATTAGTCCCCTTAATCACCATAGGTTCGAAAGCAGATAACTTTGAATCACCTAAACGCTGTAACTATTTCCACATGGATGTTGTAAATATCGTACCTTACAAGCTCACATAACAGCACCGTTACTTTTCTAAAAAGGCCTGATAAATCTGGCATTGTATTACGGCATAGCGAAGCTGGTATTGTTGTTTTCGAAACCCCTATCCATAATGCAATTCCTGAGTAATCATCTTTGACTCCACTACTACTAGATTCAAAGCTTCATTAAGACTACGTCAAAAAGTTTACTCTCAAACTTTTTATTGCCTAAGCTAGTCAAAATTAGGTTCACGACAACCAACAAACTAGAGCGGGGATCTAATGCGCTTTAGATGCTGTAAATACAGGGTAGAATGAATTTGCCATGCTTAAATTATGAAAAGTGCCATTCATGGATTCCCTTTTCCTTAATATCAATTCAAACCATTTTTCCAAATTGCGATCATTTAAACTGCACTCAAAGTACCTCTCAAACGAAACTCGTGTCGGTTGCTCAGTTTTAGTGTCCAAATTTCAAGTAGTGGTCACTTTCGTCTGCACTCATATGCGAGGAAAACTACTACTTTCAAGCTCTCGTTTTCTGTTTCTTTAAAGTCATCATCTTAAGAGACAATGATTTTAAATTATTTGGTTAACGTAATTAAAATATTTCAGTTTTTCGAATGGGTCAATGCTTAAATTCCAAGTTTGCAGCCAAAAACCAAGGCTAACGTTCTGACCTAAGTAAGAGATTAATGCAATGGATTTATGGTGGTATGGATGCCAGAATTGTCAGCACTTTGAATGATCGAAATTGGATTTTGGACCATTCAAGTGAGAGGAGACACTGGATTGAACATAGTTTTACCAGAATATGGTTTAAGACAAGTATATGCAAAAGCATTCATAATTGTCTTAATTAACTTACTAAAAATTTTACATACTTGTCACTCCATCGTATTTGCTGTAAAAGGAGCGCAAAGCATATATTTTCCAGGACCTAACTATCTTCTCCACCGGAAAAATGCTTATGCACATGGAATGTTTGTGATATGCGCTTTACCCCATGTCTACGAATCAAACTACTACAATTTAAAAAGGGACTTTTCACACCACAGGAAATCATACATCCGGTGACAATCTCTCGATTGTTTATAAGAATACACATATAGGCACAATGTGGTAAAAAGAAGTATACACAGGTTATTGTATGCAAAAGAACACGAATTTAGAGGCCTATCCTATTCACAAGTCAGTGGCATCAGTAGAACGCTGGAAAAGGGGTCCTACGTACTCGCCTCCACCTGTCACACCTTCGGCGTGCTCCGTGAAGGGCACCGGCCAGACATACCCCCCACTGCCTGCTGGGATTGGAGATTCCTGGCGCTCTGCCACCGCCAAAGTAACTTCAGCACTGCTGTTGTCCTCACTACTGCTGTTTCTGCTGTTTGTGGCGGTGGTGTACTCCACTGTGTCTGGGAGGCTATCCTGTGTTTCGATAGGATTTTGCGGGAAACGCGGTGGAAGCTGGCTGAATAGAGTGCTACGCTGCTGTCGCTGGCAGGCACTGGAGGCTGCAGTTGCCATGGAAAAGGGGAAAGAAGAGAAGGAAGAGGAAGCGACGGTAGAAAGTGCATCGGGCGGACTGGAGGCGGAGTCTCGCTCTCTTCTCGCAGCCTCAGAGTAAGCGCCAGAGAGACGAGTAGTGTGAGTCTGCGTGCTTATCACACTATTTGTTTGCTGCGAGCAGAGGGCCAGTAAGACAGGTATGAAGGTTTTAACATGATATAAAATAATCATTATGAAAACAAACTGATAATTAATTGGTGATAAATACGCCGGTTATACTAAATAAGTAGTGAGAATGTTTTTGAATGCATTATGTTGAGTTCAGTGCTTACTCGGCTGTGTAAGAAGTATTCAGGCGTATCCATTTTGCTTCGAAGAAGCTGAAGTATGTCATCAAATGACACTCTCTCGTCGGGATTTTCCCGCCAACCTTAAAACATAAAGGAACTCGATTTAGTCTACTATCTTGCACGAGCTGAATGATAAAAAAATGAAAAAAAGTTATGAAGAGAATGCTAAGTTTAAACCCAATAAACGAGTTTTGGGCCACGATTGATATTTGCGTGCAGAGATTCGCACTCGTTTATACCGGGGAGACTAGTTGTTCCTTACAGAGCTGACAGGATTGGAATTGAGATTCATACATATTTCTCTCAGAAATAATATTAAAATCTGCTGCCTGGCTTATCGAGGCATCCGATTTCTAAATGTCATGAATGGCTTAATCTTACCACCAAAAACTTGAGGACAGGCAAGGCTTTTAAGTTTGCATAAACACAAATGCATGTGCATGGGTATGCTTTAGATTTCTCGAACAAAACCTAGGGATAATTAGGAAATGCTGACACACAGGCCAGGAGCAGTCGTTGGTAGGCCTCGAGAGTGCAGATATCTGGCTGCAAAAGTCGACCGCCAGTTAGTACGTAGCGTTTGACGTCCTTCGTCTCTATGGTCGGATAGGGTCGTTGTCCAAATGTGAATATCTCCCATAGAGTCACACCTACGGTATGGTAAGATAAAACTTTAGTAAATTGGGCGTACAAACTACTAGCGACAAGGATGGTGAGATATACGATTTGTTCTAGGAAATGATCTACAAGACAAATGCAAGAGGTTAAGTAATGTTGGTTAGCCAGTCTAATCATTTGAGGCCATAAAAGTGATTAAACATATGGAACGGATAAAGGTTAGGAACAGGAACAATTCCGGTGACTGATTTAAAATGAAATTAGGATGATGGATAGGCATCCGAATTGCATTGCACCGTCATAATCGTAATGCCTACCATAGGCCCAGATGTCCGTTTTGAAGGAGTAACGTCCACTTGTTAGAGTTTCGATAGCCAACCAGCGGATCGGCACTCGACCGGATTGGACTATCACCTCTCCGATCTCCTCTTCTTCACCACTGAGCATCTTTGCCAGACCAAAATCTGTAATTTGAACCCATTCACGTTCCTTCACCAATACATTCCTCGTCGCCAGATCACTAAGGTAGAAAGGTAATGCATCTGATTCAGCCTTCCGTAAGTTGTCGAGATCCAGTGGCTTTCAATGAGAATTGTATAAAATCATATTTTGTTTGTTAAACCAAACAGCGTTCTTTTTTTAGAAAGCTTTTATCAGGTCGAGGATATGCTGCAGGACAGGTTAATGAATATACCAAATAATTAATTTCAGAATCCAATTAGGCAATGCTATTTTACCGTTTTATCTTTGGACCCCCTGTTATGGGTACTCAAAAAGATTATTAAAACAAGTGAAATTGCATTCGAATCTTTACTACTGGTTGTTGCTTGTGTATAACGTGAACATAATACTCATTTGGCTGTAAGGAAATTACATATAGGATTCACCCTAGCCTTTAGCTTTCACTCACTTATGTTTTCCGTAACTTAATTCAATCCTAATGGAGCGCTATGAACATGAGTTATGCGCATAATAGTTCACGAAATGACTGTGATTCTACTAAGGGGCTGGAGCTCTTGATTTTACAGCATACTATAAAAGTTAATCAACATTATGCCAGATTTTTGGCCAGTATGTTAAAAAAATCATGCGTTGTAGGGTTGGATCAGAAGCCCATTTGAGGCTAACTTTAATGCAGTTAACGTGTCAGATTTAAGATATAGTTAAAATGTTGTCATAAATCGCATGCTTGTGGAGGTGAAACTGACCGATGGATGATCCCGACAGATTGTAGATAGGCCATACCCTCGGCAATTTGTTCCGCCCATAGGAGCAAAAGCCAGTGTGGCAAATCGTTTCTCGAACGTCGAATATAGCCATCCAAACTGCCGTTGGCTATGTACTCCGAAACAAGGTACCTCTGCGATCCGGCCAGACACACACCAAGCAGTTGGAGACAGTGTCTATGACGCACTGAGCACATCACCTTTAAGGCAGCGGAAAGAAATACATCCGATAGTTCTGTGATTAACACATCTATAATTCCTCTAATCAGCGCACCATTCACCTTAAGGACCTATTAGAAAGGTTAAAAATGAAGATACTTCTAGTTGGTAAGGCATCTGTGATGCATCAGTTCTGTTAAAGTTAACATAAATTCACTCACATCCGATTCTCAAAAACCATCTTTTGATTAAGAATGAGGCTTAAATTGAACGGAACATCAACGGCTCCCTAAAAGTATGCAATTCCCTTTAATGTCTGTATCGCTTTAGGAAACGGGAATCTAATTCGCAAAGGGCGACTACTTAGCTTCTTAACGTTTTGAAAGCTGAAGCAGAATAGAGAGACACTTGAACAATAGGTAAAAGTCAGTTCTTATAAGTACAGTTTATTTACAACCATTCATGATTCGGCTATGGTCACGCCTAAGCTATGGGCAATGACTGCTTAAGTATCATTTAAACCGAAGCATAATATAAAAAGGAGAGAGAGGAGAACAAACGGTTACACACACGTGAGCATAATATTCAGTAAATGGAAAAAAATTTTAACATTTCAGCCACGTTACCTTTGCTTCTTCAAGTAGTGCATGGAGATCACTGGGTCCATTTACTTCGCTGAGAATCTTGACGGCGACATTGACATGTCGGCGGTGGTCTCGCCCTTCGAAGGCGGGAAGGTGGATGTCTTCTATATCATGCGGAATCCTCCAAACGCCCTTGTAGACGGCTCCAAAAGCACCACTTCCCAGAGCCACTTTGTTGGGTGGAAGTAGGACATCATCAAGATTTATAAGCACTAAACGTCCCATGTTTGGCTGCTGACGTGTCGATCGGCGGTATATCTGCTAAAGTCGAACACAGTAGCCTCTTGTACGCCCCCAGTGTTGTTGAATCATTTAGGGCCAACTTTTTCAAAGTACTAAACAGGCAAATTTTTATTACATTGGAAAGATCGACCCTAATATCAATCTGCGTTTTTTTAACTTAAAGATACATACTGCGCTGATGATTGACTTAAAAATCCCCTCATGCAGAAGGCATAAAATGCACAAATGCACTCACCTGCAATTAAATGTATGAATGACCCTCAAAAGATGTTATAATATTACAATTTCTATCTCAAAACAGGGGACAGCAGTGATATTATCATATCTCTATAAATTTTTATTGTTAATGCGATACTAATACCAATTGTGTAGAGTGGAGACAGCTAAGGAGTTCCTCAAAGCAAGTGGTAGTGAGAGGTCCGAATAGAAGGAGAGCTACCTACTGGATTGGACCAGTGACTGCTGCGATAAACTCGAGTCGAGGGCGGTGACTTGACGCCGTCGCAACTGTTACTGCAGCTGCCGTCGCGGCAATACTGACAGAAGGAGCCCTCGGAGAACCATGTGGCACGATTACTCGCGGTATCAAGGCTTGGTCCATGTGCCTCGCTACTGCTGCCATTGCTGCTAATAATCTCACTTCGGTCCATTCCCGAGCCCGACCCCACCGTATAAGTCACGATCCGAGACGAGTGACCAGCTTTGGACCCCTCGTAGAGACGCAGCACCTGTGGGTAAAATAATGGAATAAATTCAGTTCCTTAAGAGTACGGATTTGTTTTTTTTATTCCATCGTTCTTTAAATGTGGCAGTGTTCTGTCTCAGTCAATGAGCTGAGATATTTGTGAATTTGTGAAACTATTTACAATGTCATCGAAGTGAATTGTTTAAAATAAGTCCCCGGGGACTGAACAACCTTGCGAGGACCCTATAAATCTGCAACACAAGAAATGTACTTTCTAAAATAATTTTACAAGCTTGAACTAAACTTTAGAGATGGACTAGCAAAAACAATTCTATTTATTCAGAAATGCCATGTAACATTTACAAAACTTAAAACATATGCACTGTATTAGTTAATAAACAGGGGCTAGGAATTATCGAAATGTTCAGAAGGATTTAAGTAGAGATGAATATAGAGTTAAACTTGACTTGACATAAGAAAACGTCAATTAAAACATACACCTCAATAAATAAATCATAAGATTGCTTTGATGGCAAAAGTGGAGCAGAGTAAAAAAGTTAATGCCTTCTCAATGCTATCAAGGCACAATTTTACTGACTTAAATATTATTTTTGCGCTTAAACGAAAAAAATTTTTAAACTAAAAGACCAAAAACTCAAACGACCTTATCAATGATGAGTGAGAAGCTGAAAGCGTTTGGTTTTCCGGTGAACGAATTACTGGATCGTTTGTGGCGCCCTTTGTAGTAGCAGGCAAGTGTAATGCAGATGAGAAAGATGAGAAAAGAGGCTGCAAGTGGGCCGACAAGACCTGCAGTCAGACGGCTGGAGATGGTGGCAAACTCGCCGCGGCGTCGATCCGCATAGGCTGAGTCAATGTTGGCGGAGCTGTGGCAAGTCTTGTCACCCGTGAGGGGGTCGTACGAGACGTAGGGCATCTCTTCGGGGCACGCTGCCTCACACGTGAAGTACATTGAAGTCACCTATGGAGGGGAGCACCCATGAAATTATTCGATTCAGTCTCTATCATGGAGGCACAGGAAAATAATCCAAGATTGGTTTTAATGTGAAGAGATTTCGACATTGACATCCACTTAAAAGTTGATCTCTGGGTTTCTCAGTTTTCACTTTCGACATGGCATGTTCCTTCGTACTTTGACAATATCAGCTCCACAATTTCATAGCATAGAACCGAATACATATTATAATCAAATATAGCGTCCTCTCATTTTGTGAATCCTGGATATCTTGAAATTTCTTAAAAGGAAGTCAGGGGAACCGACATATTTTCTAAAAAGCAATCTTGTAAGACCTTAGCATAATTTTTTTAGTTTCGCCCAAATTTTTGATCTATTCTTATGGCTACGATTCTCATTTCATGTAGGCATAATCAAACATGCTAGATTCATTTTGTCTCCGACCCTTCAACAGAAACTCACGTAGGATAATAGACTAAGGTTGCGGATGAGCCACTCACTAAAACCGCCAAGGCTTGGTGCCATGATTTTTTCGCCAAATTAGACCAGAAACTTAAAACACATCCGATTTCGAAAGAAACAAAACCCATCCCAACTTAATAATATCATATGACACAATAGCTCAGTCTTGAATAGTTATGTTAGAACCACCATTTAATCCTTCATTTGGCGGATTAATCTGATTCCCTACCATAGAAACCAATCAAGGGGCTCATCATCTGAGCCACGCAATACCTTGTGGGAGGAATCGGTCTCACGCAGCTCAGATTGAAGTGGATCAAAAGCTTCCTTATTAAGTAGATACACGGTTGCGACATCATTCGGCGGATGCCAAGTAGCACCAGGAAGCTGGTGCCCACCAGATCGCCACACCCGGACGTGAGAGCAGCGATGGCAGTGAGAAGCCGAGGGACCCCAACAACCAGCCAGACACTCCGGGTGGCAGAGGAGGCAGTGGCCGTTCAGATGGCGTGTCCATAGATGCGGCCTAGGGAAAGCGTCCGCGCCTCGCACAGGACTGGAGAGCCTCAAAGGGAGAAAGAGACCACTGCTGTCGAGCGACTGCCGGAAGTGAAACGCTTTGCGGGCCTCTGGGGGATGTGTTAGCGATATTTGGAAGGTCATATCTACGTTAAAAAGCAAGGCCTAAACATATTTTTTAACCTTGGAAACAGGTATCAATTGCATAGTAGTGCCCCAGACAAGCTATGCAGTTCATTTATCTTAAAAGGTGGTGGGACACACTTACGATGAAAATTTTTTTCTGAATCTCTATCACAATACAAATGATCGCCTAGAAAATCTGCCGATAATGTCCACGCTTTCATCTTGTTTGTCTTTCCAAACATTAATTAATCATCACTCGTTAAAACTTTCCTTCGTTATTCATGGGACTTTAGATGACAAAGAACATTTTGTATTATCAATATGTCATTTTAAAATGTGTACACTTCAAGCACAATTATTGTGCAAGCCCTTTATAGGTTTGTTTGAAAATATCTTTAGAGATTGAAGAACTTGTTACCATTGCGATCAATCTCAACAAAGCATCAGAGTCAGACTTAGACTTTTTCGGGCTTACCAAATCTTATTTAGTCATAAAGTATAAATAAGTCAAGATTATAGTTCTTAAAACTATACTGTTGATGAAACTATTTCATTGGGGGCTGATAATGTTGCAAATAATGCTGGTGGTAATTTATTGCCTTCAGGGCATTCCTTGACGCATGTGTCTTTGAACCAGAAGCCATGGCACTCCAGACAACCGGGTGTGGTGTTGGTGGCACGAAGCACACTGTAGCCGGTACAGGTACGGCAGAGGACGTGACAGGTGCTACAGACGGGCACCGTGTACACACCTTCCTCAACGAATTGAGCGAATCTCGAATGCGATTCTACCGTCTCCATGGTCCTGAATGTACCCTTTGGACATGCACCTCGCATGCACAACAATGCACCATGCTGTGTTCGCATGGAACTCTTGGAGAGTCTATCAGAGTTGTCTGTAAAAGACGATTGACAGCTATTAGTCCCGCATGAAATCTATACCAAATAAACAAGATTACAGTTATAACTCTATTACGATTTGTAGGACAACCCCATCTCATATTACTTATTTCTTTGCTAGGGTAGCTTGAGAATAGATTCAGCTTCTTATGTAATTGCCTAATGGTAAACTTTAGCACAATTTACATTTCTCTTTTCTGCTCTTTTTTGCTGCAGATCGAGGGCTCTATTGGCAATTATAACCAAATATGTGTAATATCACTGTCCGTGAATAGTTTCATTTGTAGGTAAAAATACATTTACCTTTTAAAAGCCCATCAAAGGAGATGAACTCGAGGAACATCTCACACTTATTGCATCCTCCGGGGCCGGGGTAGATGCCGTTTCCAGTACAAACAGGTTTACTGCTGAGCTTACGTTGATGGCACAGAGAGGGGCAAGGAATGCACTCCCGCCTTTCTGTATCTAAGAAGGTGGTGTGAGGACACTCCACAACACATTCATTGCCACTCTATAAACAAAAACCTTCATAAATAAGTTCAAGTATCTCGTGCAAAGGGATCCGAGAAAGATGAAAGGCTCACCCTTGCATTTTTGCAGCTACCGATGCACTGATCGGCGCCTGGTCCGGTACAGGTTTCTGCGCACTCAGAGTGGCACCGAGCGCAAGTGATGGGAGCCTTTGCATCCTCAGAATAGTCACCGTATCGGCTGTATATATGTTCCTCGATGATGTGCCCTGCGGCCATTCTGGCCATTTGCAGCCGCGCGGTCATGGGGTTGCTCTGAGGTGGCAATGTTGGTATAATGCTAACATTTTCGCGTGACGCCTCGAAGAACCCGGGCAGCTCGATGCAACTCTCCACGCAAATGAAGCCCTGGACCGAATGACTGCGGCAGAGCAGACAATCTTCACGACGCGGACCCCAGCAACCGAAGGTGGAGTCACAGGCAGGGTGACACACGGCGCCTCTCGCCTCTTTACCAATACAGATGTAAGCCCTTCGTGTGTGATACTAATGCCATCATAGATTAGTCATTTATTTAAAAGCTTTTACGCCTCATTTGAATGAACCAGTTAATGTGGTCACAAATGTTGGAAACTAAGGTTTGCATTGACTCACCACATTCAGCGGCAGTTGGAATTCGGTACATCTGTATGCGGAAATTGGGAAGAAAGCGATATCTGTCTGTGGTCTTTGTAGTAACTAAGACAACATTTTTACGAAAAATCAGTTACTAAGAATCGGTGAAATTCAAATAATGGTTGGCGATCATGTATAAAATTATCTAAAATTATGTTTTCGGAGGACTAACCAATGGTCTGTACGTAGCAAAGTGCAGGTGATTCCATGAACGCGATGGCTCCATGTGGTGCCTCACGAAGGCGATGCAAACCGGGGAATTCGATTTCCCCGTGCGCTACCGCCATGCTGAAGCGCGAGTCTACAGCCGAAAAAAAAGGTGCCATTACGATGCGAATGTGGTCAGTCGTTTATTCGAAAAACTGTAAGCAAATGTAAATGTAAGAGTGAAAATATCGGGTGCATTACTTACTTGATCCTCCGATCTTACGCAAATTTTCTAAAAAGATTAGGCTCTTTAAAGGCGCGGGATGGTTGCGTAGGTCCAGATGAACAAAACCTGTCACCTCTTGCAGTGAGTGCAGCGCCCACAACTCCTCGGTGGTTGTGATAGGTTTCCTTCCGGGCAATTCAGAACTTAAAATACGGTTGCACAGCTTATAAAACCCTTCTAATTGCCTTGATTTCCTCTCAAGAAATGAAAAAGATAGCCTGTACTTTTATCTACAAATTCTGATGAAATTGGCACAAATGGGTGGGAATCAGTTGCTCTTTAGTTTTATAGAAGTGAAGTCTTGCAATGATGGAGCTCTTTTGGAGATGCCAGTAAGAAGAGGAGTTGTCCTGACTGACAGTACACAAAGTGGGCTGTACTTGCCGAATATTTGTTATTAAAACAAAGTTTTGTTGTACCAGAAATAAAAATAAGCAGTGGTGCTAAAATTAATGCAGCAGAAAACTTCATCATAATCAAACCCAATTT